CCAAAACTGGACGCAGTACTCCAGCTGTGGCCTCACCAGTGCCGAATAGAGGGAAATAATAATTTCCCTCGATCTGCTGGCAATGCTCCTACTATGTAGCCCAATATCCTGTTAGCCTTCTTGGCAACGAGGGCACACTGCTGACTCGTATCCAGCTTCTCGTCCACTGTAACCCCAGGCCCTTTTCTGCAGAACTGCCAGTTAGCCAGTCGGTCTCAAGCCTGTAGCAGTGCATAGGATTCTTCCGTCCTAAGTGCAGGACTCTGCACTTGTCTTTTGTTGAACCTCATCAGATTTCTTTTGACCCAATCCTCCAATTTGTCTAGGTCACTCTGGACCCTATCCCTACCCCCCAGCTTAGTGTCATCTGCGAACTTGTTGAGGGTGCAATCCATCCCATCATCCAGATCAGGGGCGGGCAAACTTTTTGGCCTGAGGGCCACATCGTGGCCTGCTCCCCTCCCATCCACCCCGCCCCCCGGGACTCCTGCCCCAGCCAACTCCCCCGTTCCCTGACCTCTGCCCCAGCCAACCCCCTCTTCTCCCTGTCCCCTGACTGCCCCCCCCAGACCCCTGCCCCCATTCAGCCCCCCTGTTCCCTGCCCTCTGACCGCCCCGACCCCATCCACACCCCCATCTCCTGACCACCACCCCAAACTCCCCTGCCCTCTATCCAACCCCCCCCCTCCACTCCCTGCCCCCTTACCACGCTGCCTGGAGCACCGGTGGCTGGCGGCGCTACAGCCCCACCACCCAGCTGGAGCCAGCCACGCCATCACCACCGCCCAGCACAGAGCACTGGGTCAGGCCGGGCTCTGCAGCTGCGCTGCCCCAGGAGCTCGCAGCCCCGCCGCCCAGAGCATTGTACCAGTGGCGGGGTGAGCTGAGGCTGCGGGGGAAGCTGTGGCAGCCTCCTGGGCCAGGAACTCAGGGGCCGGGCAGGAGGGTCCCGCGGGCCGTAGTTTGCCCGCCTCTGATCCAGATCATTAATGAAGATGTTGAACAAAACTGGCCCTAGGACCAACCTCTAGTGCACTCCTCTTGATACTGGCTGCCAACTAGACATCAAGCCGTTGATCACTACCCGTTGAGCTCGATGATCTAGCCAGTTTTCTATCCTCTGTACAGTCCATTCATCCACTCCATACTTCTTTAACTTGCTGGCAAGAATATTGTGGGAGACCGTATCAAAAGTTTTGCTAAAGTCAAGGTATATCACGTCCACCACTTTCCCCATATCCACAGAGCCAGTTATCTCATCATAGAAGGCAATCAGGTTGGTCAGGCATGACTTGCCCTTGGTGAATCCATGCTGACTGTTCCTGATCATCTTCCTCTCCTCCAAGTGCTTCTAAATGGATTCCTTGAGGACCTGCTCCATGATTTTTCCAGGGACTGAAGTGAGGCTGATTGGTCTGTAGTTCCCCGGATTCTCCTTCTTCCCTTTTTTAAAGGGAGACACTACATTTGCCTTTTTCCAATTGTCCAGGACCTCCCCCCATCGCCGTGAGTTTTCAAAGATAATGGCCAATGGCTCTGCAATCATATCAGCCAACTCCCTCAGCACCCTTGGATACATTAGATCCGGCCCATGGACTTCTGCATGTCCAGCTTTTCTAAATAGTCCTTAACCTGTTCTTTCACCATTGAGGGCTGCTCACCTCTTCTCCATACTGTGCTGCCCAGGGCAGCAGTCTGGGAGCTGACCTTGTCTGTGAAGACCGAGGCAAAAAAAGCATTGAGTACTTCAGCTTTCACTGACACTAGGTTGCCTCCCCCATTCGGTAATGGTCCCACACTTTCTCTGACCTTCTTCTTGTTGCTAACATACCTGTAGAAACCCTTCTTGTTACTCTTCACATCACTGGGAGGGTTGGCCCCATCTCCAACATCCGCACCAGTGTGAATCCCTTGATTTAGTGGAGACATGCCTGATACTCACCAGGAGTGAGAGGAGACTTAGACCCTTTGTCTCCGTGTAGATGCTGTTGGCATCTGTTGAGTGCAGGGGGAGGACACCACGCTATGAGTCTCTGTCCACTGCATTTGGGAGGTGTGATTGCAGCCTATGTAGAGATAGGCAAGCTAGATCAAGTAACAGCAGTATAGCTGCAGCAGCACAGGTGGGAGTTGTTCGAGGTGTACCAGGGTACCATGTGGGAGGCCCCCCCCATGCTGTCCTCTGGGCTCTTGCGGCTTCACTGCTATTGTTACCTGAGCTGGCATTGATATAGTTGGTACCATGCAGCCAGTGCAGTGGGGCTGGCTCCTGCAGCTGGGCTCCCCGCAGGGGTCCTTCCTGGCGTTTCCCCACTTCCGGAGGCTCATGTCCCCTCTGCTCTGCTTGCAGGACTTGCTCAGCGCCAGCTAGGGTTGCCAACTGTCTAATCCTATAAACCAAAACACCCTTGCCCCACCCCCCTGCCCTTCCCCGAGGCCCCTGCCCTTGCTCCACCCCTTTTCCGAGGCCCTGACCTGCTCACTCCATCCCCTCTCCCTCCTTTGCTTGCTCTCCCCCACCCTCACTTACTGTCACCAGTGCGGGAGGACGTGTGGGCTCTGGGCTGGGGCGTGGGGCTGAGGGGTTTGGAGTGTGGGAGGGGACTCCAGGCTGAGCCTGGGCACAGGGGTCCAGGAGGGGGCATGGGGTGCTAGCTCCGTGAGGAAGTTTGGGTGCTGGAGGGGGCTCAGGGCTGGGGCAGGGGGTTGGGATGCAGGAGGGGGTGTGGGGTGCAGGCTCCAGCTCGGAGGCGCTTACTATGGGCGGCTCCTGGTCGGCAGCGCAGGGGGGCTAAGGCAGGCTCCTGCCTGCCCTGGCCTCGCGTTGCTCCTGGAAGCGGCTGGCATGTCCCTGCGGGGGTGGGGGGACAGGAGGCTCAGTGCGCCACCTGCACCCACAAGTGCCGCCCCTGCAGCTCCCATTAGCTGTAGTTCAGAACCAAATCCAGCCTTTCTCCTCCGAACAGTGAAGGGCCACGAGCCAGGGCTGTGGTTTGGCCTGTGATTCAGGGCTACCCTGGTCTGCTTTGCAAATCTGGCCCTAAGAGACTTGCCAAAGACCCCCATTCTGGCAGCAGGCCTGGGGCGCAATGAGGGTGGAACCCAGCTGGGCTGGCCCAGGGCTCTGCTCTCACCATTGGAGCCAGCTCTCACCCAGTGTCCTTAACAGACTAGGCTTAATTCTGCTTTCAGCTGCGTCTGTGCATCCCCAGACCAGGTGCTACAGAATGTCTCCCCTTTGTCAGGAGGACACCAGGATCTGTCCAAGCCAGTGGATTATTTCCCCGCCCCCTCCTTGGCTGTTCCTCTTTCATTTTAAAATAGTCATTTTAAAAAAATCCAAATACACAAGAGAAGCAAAAACAAATATGGTCCCTTTCCCGAATACTCCTGCTCAGCGCCATGAGTGCCCCTTTCATAAGCAGACAGAGTCCCTGGGGCACCCTGAGGCAGGCGATGCCTGTTTGCGCAAGGCTGGGCCTGCAGTGGTTAGGCCTCCCAGCGCTGTGGCAGCAGCACCACAGGCGTAAGCTGTGTGTGGGCACTGAGGGACATGCCATGCAGGGATGGATATTGCTTGAGGGCGTGTCCATTTGTGATGCCCTCTCCTCCCTTTGGGACCCGTGGGATGGGAACAAGAACAGGCTACTGCAATGGCAGGCAGCACATGCTATTCCCAGCCGTGGCTCATAGAGAGCAGCAATGGGGCTTTGCAGCCTGCATTTGCTCGAGCCAGCAGTGCTCCGTGTACTCCTGCCACTTCTGCTGCCAAGGAGTTTTTGCATAGAGACCAGGAATAATGTCTAATAAAGCCCAAGCCTTGCAGCGAGCCATATCCCCATTCCAGGCCACAGCTGGCTGGCACCTTGCAACAAGAATCTGCTGTGGTTAGGGTGGTCAGATAGCAAGGGTGAAAAATCGGGACAGAGGTGAGGGGTAATTAGCACCTATATAAGACACAGCCCCAAATATCAGGACTGTCCCTATAAAATTGGGACATCTGGTCACCCTAGCAGTGGTCACTGTACGTGACCCGGGTGTCCTGTAAGCAACAGCCGGAGGCCGTGGTGAGTTGGGTGCTCTGGGCCAGGCTACCGGGTTCATTAGCTAGTGCTGGTCTCTCTGCATTCACGTCTTGAATCCATTGAGTACAAGGGCCATTCGGATCAGTCAGTCCAAATACTTAAATATTCAGAAGGCTAAAGTCTAGGCTTGTGATTCAGCCTTCCCCACCAGCCAGGGAAATCCTGGGGCCTGCTTTCCTGTGGCAGAGCTTGGACTGACAGGACTGATCCATTCCTCTAATGATTATTTTTGCAAGAATGGGGGAGAGAAAGAGACCAGCTGCCATCACACAGCTAATCTGCAGACAGTGGTTTGGTGCATTTTCCTGTTCTGCCCACCTGTGCCCGCTGGGCAAGCTGTGCTGGTGTCCGTTACTATTTCAACAATTGCATTCATGAGTGTTAAGTCCCAAGGGCTGTAAAAGTCACATGACAGCGGATGGCATTTTAGCCGTCTTAATCCTGGTGACCCTGTGAGTGGGGGTCTGAGGCGCTCTGATTAATGTACAACAGATAGGGGGGCAGATTCTCAGCTGCTGTAAACTGATTGTGGTGCTACACTGAGATCTAGCCCAGTAACTGATTAAGCCTTACGCCCTCCATCCAGAGAAGTAGGCCAGTATCATCAGCCCCATTTTATAGACCGGGGGGAAACTGACGTGCAGGGAGTTGAAGTGACTTGCTCCAGGTCACAGAGCTGGAATTCTATCCCAAGAGTTCTTGGCCTCCTGATCCCTCCACTAGACTATGCTGCATCCCAGTGAGATTGCAAGCATGTCTCTGTCCACACACTGATGGAGAGCAGAGCCCTGAGACAGGGACAAAGAGGGAACTAAAAACCGGTGTCTGTTTAACCCTTTGGTTAACATGCTTGGTCTCTGCAATACTCTGGTGTGGCTGAATGGAAACGGGATTATTTTTTGTGCCCTGCTCTAGGTGATCATGGGAGGTGGCCGGAAATACATGTTCCCAAAGAACACCAGTGATGTGGAATACCAGAATGATGACAAGTACAGGGGCACTCGTCTGGATGGCAAAAACCTCATCGATGTCTGGAGAGATAAGAAACCTAAAGACAAGGTAAAGGGGAGGGAGGGAGATGTCTGGGGAGAGGATCAAGGCCAGAGGGGCTGCAGGTTTAAAGATTCTTTACTCAGGGATCTCTGGTTCAAGCTCATGTTAAAAGATAGGGAAATGATCCTGCTGATGTAGCACTTCCCTTGTTCAAAGCCCCACACAGTCAGTAACTAACCTCCACAGTGCCTGCCAGGAATGGGGAGTGTTTGCAGTTCTGTCTGGCACCTTTCATCCAAATGAGGAGCTGTGTGTCCTACAGACATCAACAGGGAGCAGACGGGAAACTGAGGCAGACAGGTGATGAGTCTCACCCAGGATCATACAGTGAGTCAGCAATGGAGCCAGGATTACAGCTTGGGAGCTCCTGACCCACCATTGAGGGTTCTTCAGGATGAAAGGTGCTCTAAGAAACTGTTATCTGGACACCCAGGGCACTAATGAAAGCAAAGAAGGTTCCTGAGTTTCAGCATAAAAGTACTTCTCTTTAGAGTATGCAGTGTTGTTGTAGCTGTGTCAGTCCCAGAATATTAGAGAGACAAGGTGGATGAGGTAATATATTCTATTGGACCACTTCTGTTTTATGGTTTTATTCTGATTTATTGGGCCAATAAAAGTTATTACCTCACCCACCTTGTCTCTCTTTAGAGTGACACAGATGAGCCCAGCTGCCTTTGACCTTTCTTGGCCAGAGACTTTGTCCCATCAGCACTTTGCTGTCTCTCTAGATATCTATGTGGCTGCTAGAACCATAGAATCTTTGCTGCTGGAATGTCAATGGGGGGCTGTTGATTACAAAGAGGGTTGTTGCCAGCTTCCACCCAGTTTTTCCAGTCACCTCTCGTACCCAGGCTAGGAGCTAATCTTTGCAGAAGACCCTAGACACCTGTATGGTTTTTATTTATATTCCAGAAGTCTTGAGGTCAAGACCCCACTGACAAAACACAGAGGAAGAGCTTGCAGACTAAATAGCTAAGACAGATAAAGGGTGGGAGGGGGTGAAGCCACTTGCCAAGGTCACTCAGTAGAGGTTGGTGTAGAACCCAGGCCTCTGAAGCCAGTGTCCTAGCCACTGGACCAATCTGCCTCTCTTTGTATGTTCCGCTGCCTAACTAGATGGTATCCCCAGTGTTGAAAGGTGACTTTGTCCTAATATAGCCTTCCTAGCAGATATCCTGACAAACCCAGTTCTGAGCTGTGTTGTCTGGAATTTCCTGCATGTGCTGCTCTGGGATTGAGAGCTCTGTCTCAAAATCTATCACTTCTCGGTGTGCAGCTTGTCTACACTTGAAACGCTACAGCGGCACTGACACTCTGTGCTGACAGGAGGGGTTCTCCCGCTGGTGCAGGTAATCCACCTCCCCAAGAATCAATCGCTAGGTCAACATTCGTCCATTGACTAGCACTGTCCACACAGGGACTTGGGTCAGCTTAACTGCATTGCTTAAGGGTGTGGATTTTTCACACCCTGAGTCATGTAGTTAAGCTGATTTAATTTTCTAGTGTAGACCAGGCCTGGGATTTCAGTTCCTGCTTAGGTGGGGATGCTGGGGGGATGAGGGAGAGAGACTGGAAATGATGGCGGTTGAACCCCTGAAGACCGTAGTGAGCCCTGGTGGTCTGAATGGCTTTGATGTTGATGGAAGTTAGATTTCTAATTGGCTTCAGCTTTAAGTGCCCACGTTGCATCCACTGAGAACATAAGTAATCTCTCTCCTGCCATCCATCTCCACCCTCTGACAGACAGAGGGTAGGGACACCATTCCTTACCCATCCTGGCTAATAGCCATTAATGGACTTAACCTCCATGAATTTATCCAGTTCTCGTTTAAACGCTGTTATAGTCCTAGCCTTCACAACCTCCTCAGGTAAGGAGTTCCACAAGTTGACTGTGCGCTGTGTGAAGAAGAACTTCCTTTTATTTGTTTTAAACCTGCTGCCTATTAGAGTGAAAACAGGAGTCAGCAGAGGACAAATGGGGATGGTTATTCCTGTCTAAGGGATGATATTGTGTGTGGGAAACTGAAAATCCCTGGACCCTCTGGAGTGACCTTTGAAACTAGCCCTGCAGCAACCTTGGGGAGCTCTGCAAACACACCAGCTCACACCCTGATCCAAGCCTGAGCCCTGAACTCCTCTGTTGCTCCAGCAAGTGCTGCCACTAGCACTTGTTGTAGCACTGGGAAGGAGACAGCACTGCTCCGTGTATCGGGAGCAGCCCTTGGAGCAGCTGGGATGGGCTCAGGAAGGAAGCACATCCAGGTCTTAGCCAGGGGAGGCTGCCACTGCATGGTGCTTTGGTCAGGGAGAGAAGACCTTCCATGCCCCCACCCCCATCCCAACTGATCAGATCTGAGTTGAGAATGAATGTAGCCTCTAGTCTGAAGAATATCCGTGATGCTGCTGGTCTGACCATACCCCTCCCTTCTCCATAGCACTCTATTTCTTATTGCAGTTCCTGTTATTCTTTTGGGGTTCAGTTGTGCTCACCCTCTCACATTCATGCCTTTCATCACAAAGGATCCCACAGGGGGTTTTACCAGCTGTTGGCCTGTATGCTCAGGAGTTGCTTTGCTGCAACAGAATTGCAGCCATCTCTGGGGTGGCACTCAATGGCCATTTAACAGCCCATGGCAATGCTGCATGGCAGCTCATAGGAAGGAACAAAGGAGAATTCTGTATCCAATGGAAACTGCTTTTCTCTTCCATTGGTTATGATTTAGCTGGGACATAAACAATGGAACATTTGAGTTTGACTAAGACCAGCTGGTGTATCCTGGTTCTGTTTCTTCTGCTGCTTGCGCCCCCAAAGGGGAGGTTCTGTGTTAGCGGCATTGGTGTTGCCCGGCCATTTAGGAGCAGGCAGTCACTCTTCTGGGGTATCTTGGCTAGCAGAGGGAATCTGGAGAGATGCCAAACTGGGTGAGGAAGGAAGGGGGCTCGCAGTCCGTCTGCAATGGCTAGAGCCAGAAGAGCAGGATTGTCCCCAGGCATGTTTAAAATCCCTCTGTGATGTCAAGCGGAATGAACTTTCTCTTCCCTTGGCATGGTGGGAGCAGGCATAAAGCGTGCTGTGACTGAAGAAGGTTGAGCTGGCCTGAATCTTGGCGTGACCCAAACTGGAACCTTGCCCGATGGTCAAAGTTTGCACAACATTTGTATCCTTTTCCCCCTCACACTGCTCAGTGCTGGCTTTGGCCAGAACTAGCCCTGAAACCTGTCTTATGCAAGAGGCTGAGCTCAGGGTATTTCTGGCTCAGCCCAAACCAGGAATTTTCATGGCAAAGCCTCTCTAGGCCAAGGCACGTGGGAGAAGCATCTGAACTGAATGGAACCTTCAAACCTTTGAGGTTCTCCCCATCATTTAGTTTCTGAGGCTGAGATGGGGGTGGAGTGGAAGGAGACACAAGGGTTTGTTTGCTCATGGCAGCTCCTATACGCAACATGATGGTCAGCACAGGTACAGGGGGCCACCCACCTGGATCTGATTTCAGGTTCTGGACCAGAAGTCCCTCTCTCTACAGCCCTGGCAGATCTATGGGCATTGTTGCTATCAACCCTCACTAGCCTTCGCTCCAACCCCCTGGTTCTAGGTCAGAACCAAATGCAAGAGGGCTCAGTTTTCTAGTTCTGAGGAGACTATAGCCTCATGCTATTCAACTGCTGGGGATCTTGTTACATTTATTTTCTGCTGCTTTGGGCCAAAACCTTGTGAGAATGGCTAGTGGGATTTTAGTGCTGTAGGATCCAAACCTGAATCCCAATCTTGTGCCTTAAAGCCAAAGCCTCTGCATGTTCTGAGCCTTGTACCAGGGCTGCAAAACTTTGCTCTGAGCTTAAACTTTATGGGTGGGATGTTCAAAAAGTGCTCCACTTTGGCCTACCTCTTATTCAGCAGGAGCTGAGGGGAGTTCTATCACTGACGTCACTGGAAGCAGAGTTAGGCCAGCACTGAGTGCTGCTGAGGAGCACGCCCTGGGTGCTTTATTTGTTTTATTTTCCACAGGAGTCCTCGGAATACAAGGTCCAGTCAATTTTCTGCAGAAACTAAAGATTCGATTTCACTTCTTGATCAAAAAATCCCCCACACCACTGTTGTGTTGTTTGTGACTGTTGCCCTCCACCTCAGAGTGGCTCCTTTTCTATGATGCTCTATGTAGCTGTGTGTCTATTGTGTAACATTTATACTGCAGTAGCACCTAGAGGTCAACCAGGTCAAGACCCCATTGTGCTGGGCACCATACAAACATATAGAAAATGATAGTCCAGCCTTAAAGAGCTTACAATATCTGTAGTTTGTGACATGCTTTGGGATCCAAGTTGCTATATGAATTTAAGATCCTTATTATGATGAACATTCATTGCACAATAAAATACATTTACTAAGATACAAGATAAATATGTGTTAAAGAGGGCAAAGTTGCCTGATTTTCATGACTGTGAAGTTGTCTGGTCAGATATCAGTGCATATATCTGGGATATATGGCAGATGTTCTCTGTGTGTGCAATACATATGGCAAATACCGTATCTGGGAAATACCTATGGCGTCTAGATTCTAAGGGCAGAAGGAGCCACTGTGATCGTCTAGTCTGACTCCCTGCATAGCAAAGGCCAGAAAAATTCTCCACAATAATTCCTGTTTGAACTAGAACATATCTTGTAGAACATCCAGTCTTGATTTTAAAATTGCCAGTGATGGAGAAGCCACCACAACCCTTGGGAAATTGTTTCCAGTGGTTAATTCCCCTCCCTGATAAATGTGTGTCTTATTTCCAATCCCCTCGATAAGGAAGTGTACATAACAGCTGCTGTTCTATTGCTCTCCCCTAGAATTCCCAGTACGTCTGGAATCGCAGTGACCTGTTGTCCCTTAACCTGATGGAAGTGGACTTCCTCTTAGGTGAGTATCTAAGAGCAAAGGCTGGAGGCCCGGGAGCTAAGTGAAAATCAGTGAGCTGGGGGACAGATTTACAAAGGTGTTCAGGCACCTGGAGATGCAGATAGGTGCCTAGTGGGATTTGTGAATGCTCCTCAGCAAGTTAAGTACCTAGCTGCCAGTGAACGTCAATGGGAGTTAGGTACCAGCTCACTTAGGCACTTTTTGTAAATCTCAAGTTGGGTGGCAAGGGGCCAAGACCACCCTGCCCCTCCCTTGTTACTAAAGGAGAGGTATGGTCAGATGTCGGCTGATTGTGTGTTCTCATTCTCTCTCTCTGCTGTCCCAGCTCTGCGCAGATAGCAGAGATAGCAGACTTTGATTGAGCTGCCCACTAAATCCACAGACTCGATTTTCAGCAAAGGAACTTGGTCTGGTTTATTGCCGACGAACGGTGCTAATTCCCTGGCTCAATGGTACACTAACACATGTATGCTCATGACAATGGACTGGCTCAGTGAATGGCGGGACTTTCCATTCTCCCCTCGGCCAGACCCCGACACCCCCTCAGCGATACCTCTTTATACCCCAATACAAACAAGTTACATATTGCCCCTCTGACATGGCTAGGTGCCACCTCTGACATATCTGGGTGCCACCCTCTGATGTCCACCCATTGTCTTGTACCTGTTGGTTCGATCAAAACATCTCTATCCATCATGCTGTCATCCTGACCGTATCTTTAGGATGGGTCAGTGTGTTCCTGTTATCTTTTGAGGAATGTGTTTTGGTATCAAGGTTTTCTGGTATCTTTCTGGAATATGTTTTTGTATATATTCTTGTGCCTAGCACTACTTAAGAATATGTGTTTCTGCAATATCAGCCCTGTTCTTGCCAAATTCTGTGAGCAGGGCCTCTTGTGTGTGCCTCTTGCTCACAACTTAACTTTAGCAAGAGGGTAACCTGAGCAACAGATTGCAGTAAGAAGGTGTCTGTCAGACAAACTCCTCAGGAGAGCCACTGCCCCTGTCCCTGAGGATCTGAGTATGATGTGGACGTCTGGGACAAGTGCAGAGGAACCCAGCATGGGTTGGGATAAGTGCTCAGCCCTTCTAGGCTCCTGTGAAAGGGATACGCTCAGTCCCTGGGCACATTAACCCCTCTGCTCCATGCACTGGCCTGTAGCTTTGGAAAAACCTGCCGCCGCCTCTGCCCTGGGCTTGCAGCTGAGCTAGCTCCTGAAAGACCTGAGTTCACAGCTGCACGGCCCCCTCCTGGCCAGCCTGGGCCTCTGCGTCACCTGCCACCTGCACAGTGACTCAGCATCCTTCAAGGAAGCAGGCCAGAGAAAGGCTGGATGTTCCTGGAGGGCCCAGGCTGTTGAGAGAGACGGAGCATGGGGAGCTGGAGTGATGTGGACAGGATGAAGCTGATCAGTCTGGAGGCGCCTGTTGTTCAGTATCGATGGCACAAATAGGCAGGTAGGTAACAGGGCCTACTAATCCTCTCAGTCTTAAATATCCCCTTGGATGAGGGGGTGGGGTTGAGGGGACCCAGCAGGGGGAATAGAGCCTCCAACAATTGCTCCACCCCAGTAACATGTCCTACCTCCTCCCCTTGTCAGATCCATATGGATGTGCAAGGTGAGCAGCAGCCCCTGGGCTCTTTTTCCGCAGTTATGTCTCGTGGAGCCAAGTCACACCGATTGCTGCATGTAGCAGGGACTTGGTACATCTAAGCCAGTTGCTAGGATCGGGGACAAAGAGGCAGCTTGGAGTAGCTGCAGCAGTGCGTGAGCATGGAGGATGAGTGCAGAGTGGGAGCACAAGTCTAGAGTCCCAGGGAAAATGTGCACCTATAAAATACTGCAGAGACTCAGAGGAAATGTGGGTGTGTGTCTCTGATCTGTACCAGGTCCCCTTGGCCTCCAAGCAAAGTTCTGGGCCTGTCTGGAATGGTGTTGGTGTGTGTGCTGCTGGTGAAGCAGGGTATGGTTACACTCAGTCATTGTATTATGTCAATAAAACGTGTCGAAGCAGTTTCCCAAAGGAAGCACTTGCACACTGGATCTTGTGCTGGATTTCACTGTTTATTTTTGCATTTTGAGAAAGTTGGCTACCGAGGTAGCAAAAGTGCTCAACTGTCTCCAAAGTCTGACCCTCCATGGTGATTTGTGGTGGGTCATGTGCAAGGCCTGAGGCAGGTTGATAGAGCACTTTAGTCATCTCAATATTGAGTGAGAGTCCCTAGGCTCCGGTAAGATTGTGCAAGAAAATCCAGTGTGGACTGAAGGTCATTCTCTGTGTATGCCAGGATGGCACAGTCATCAGCATACTGAAGATCAGTAATGGATGCCCTGAAGACTTTTTAGACTTTGAGCTGAGACCTCGAAGATTAAAGAGCCACCCGTCCACTCTGTATTGAATGTCAACTGACCAAAATGACTGCTAAATAGATGGAGAGCAGGGTTGGGGCAATAACGCATCCTTGCTTAACCCCAGTTTTGATGACGAAAGGTTCTGTCTCAAGGCCATTACAGAGAACCGTGGCAATCATCTGATCTTGGAGAAGCCATAGGATCTTAATAGATTTTGGAGGGCAGCCAGATTTGGTCAGCACCTTCCACAGGATGTCGCAGTTGACAGAGATGGACTGTGACCTGCGGCAGGACACCAAGATCCAGGTCTATAAGACAATTGTTCCTACAGGTAAAACCTGAGTGACCTATCGACAGCACCTCAACAGTCTGGTGAGGTGCCACCAACGATGCTTCTGGAAGATCCTTTGTGTCAAGTGGCCAGATCGTTGCACTAATGCCAGCATCCTCGCTGAAGCCAATGTCACCAGAATTGAAACAACGATCCTCATGCACCAACTTTGCTGGGCTGGACATTTTGGCCGGACTCTCGCTTCCCAAAACAAGTCCTCTACTCTCAGCTAACCCATGGTTGGAGATCCCGTGGTAGTCAAAGGAAACGCTACAGCAGTTCTCAAACTGTGGGTCAGGACCCCAAACTGGATCCCGACCCCTTTTTAATGGGGTCTCCAGGGCTGGCTTGCTGGGGTCTGGGGCCCAAGCCCAAGGGCTTCAGCCCTGGGTGACAGAGCTCAGATTACAGGAGCCCTGCTTGGGCTGAATCACAGAATATCAGGGTTGGAAGGGACCTCAGGAGGTCATCTAGTCCAATCCCCTGCTCAAAGCAGGACCAATTCCCAACTAAATCATCCCAGCCAGGGCTTTGTCAAGCCTGACCTTAAAAACCTCTAAGGAAGGAGATTCCACCACCTCCCTAGGGAACCCATTCCAGTGCTTCACCACCCTCCTAGTGAAATAGTGTTTCCTAATATCCAACCTAAACCTCCCCCACTGCAACTTGAGACCATTGCTCCTTGTTCTGTCATCTGCCACCACTGAGAACAGCCGAGCTCCATCCTCTTTGGAACCTTCCTGCAGGTAGTTGAAGGCTGCTATCAAATCCCCCCTCATTCTTCTCTTCTGCAGACTAAATAATCCCAGTTCCCTCAGCCTCTCCTCATAAGTCATGTGCTCCAGCCCCCTAATCATTTCCGTTGCCCTCTGCTGGACTCTTTCCAATTTTTCGACATCCTTCTTGTAGTGTGGTGCCCAAAACTGGAGGCAGTACTCCAGATGAGGCCTCACCAATGTCGAATAGAGGGGAATGATCACGTCCCTCGATCTTCTGGCAATGCCCAAAATGCCGTTAGCCTTCTTGGCAACAAGGGCACACTAGTAAATCAGATCCTGCCCTTGGGTTTCGGCTTTGGTCCCCTGGCCTGGGGAGGTGGGGCTTTGGCTTTGCACCTCCTCTCCCTCTGGGGTGGTGGGGCTTGGGGTGGCTCAGGCTTCGGTCCCCCCTTCTGGGGTCCTATAGTAATTTTTGTTAAAAGGAGGTTGTGGTGCAATGAAGTTTGAGAACCTCTGCACTACAAAGACACACTGAAAGTGTATCTTAAGAAAACTGATGTGGGCATCACAAGCTGGGAGGAGCAAACCACCAGCTGACCCCAGTGGCACCATATCTTCCATCAGGCAGTGGCCCGCTTCAAGGAGAGGCGCCTAGCCCTCAAAGCTGAAAAGAGAAAGAAGGAAGGAAAAAGAAAGAACTTTCTCCCAGCAGGCAGCTGGCCTGCCACAAAATGTCGGTACCTACTGCGGGCGGATTTGCGATTCCAGGATCGGACTCTTGAGTCATCTCAGGACCGATAGTAAATCCATGGGAGAGAACATCCTCGAATTGAGGGATTGCCAATCAATCATGATGTCCATAGCAGGCTGCTGACCCATTCAGAGGAAAAGCTCCTCTGAACCCCACACCTGCTTCTCCATTACATCCCCCATCACACCACACAGCCCACATCCCGATGCATACTGCAGTATACACACGTTATCTCATACATCCAGGGTGGTGCTGCCTAGTGAGCAGAGCAATGGACGGGGGTCAGGGCGCCTGGCTACTCTGCCAGAGTGTGTCCAGCTCCTGGTGGCAGAGAGAGGTGGGAGAGTATCAGAGCCCATAGGGGATCATTATTCCGGGAAGAACTTTGGTGATCAGGTTGGTACAATCGGAATTGGTAGCACATGGATCTGAGGCCCTCGTGAAGATCAAAATGTGGTGCATAGCTGACACATCCTCTCCCTTTTCAGGCCTCTTCGAGCCAATAGATATGATGTATGAGCTAGACAGGAATGTCCAGACAGACCCTTCCCTGACGGAGATGGTGCAGGTGGCCATCAAAATCCTCCAGAGAAATCCCCGAGGATTCTTCCTGCTGGTGGAAGGTGAGAGCCAGGGTCTCCAGACTGGGGACACGCCCACCACTCCCAGTGCCCTGAGGGGCTGAACTTCCCATCCAAGCTTTTCAGGGCTGGAAGCATCCCGTGCTGAGGACATGGGCCTATTACTGGAGGTCTGCTATTGTCTTCTGACCTGAATGTGCCTCTCTGGGAGGGTGATGAAACGGTTTTGGAGTTGTGACAGTGGGCAAAACCCACCCCTGTTGCACCCACCATTGCTTCACCAGTCAGGAAAGAAGCTGAGCAAGTTCCCTAGCCATTTACCCTACAAGGGAACGTATGGAAATTGCTTGGGGGGGAGAGGCTAGTATGCAGGCAATGGGTCCCAGAGCCCACGGCTCCCAAGGGAGAGGGAGACCCTGGAAATGGGTAAATACCAGCAGTGGTCTGATACTGGCCCACAAACTCCTAGCTTAACTGCATTAGCCTCCCTTTCTAGCATCTGAAGTGCAGGTAATGCTGGCTCCTGATTGCACCTTTCAGTCAAGGGAAGTTGGTTTCCTTTACTGGCCTGGAAGGGAGAGGAAGGGAGGGCTTGTGGTGAGGAATATTCATCACATGAGAACCAAGACTCCAGCCTAGCAGCTCCCCCATCCTGAGGGCTCTGGGAGGTAGTACTTATCTCTGCTGTGTGGGTGTTTCTTCTAATAGCAAAAAGAACAGGAATACTTGTGGCACCTTAGAGACTAACAAATTTATTTGAGCATAAGCTTTCATGGGCTACAGCCCACTTCATCGGATGCATGTAGTGGAAAATACAGTAGGAAGATCTATCTATCTATCTACAGAGAACATGAAACAATGGGTGTTCTCTGTGTGTGTGTGTGTGTATATATATATCTTCCTACTGTATTTTCCACTACATGCATCCGATGAAGTGGGCTGTAGCCCACGAAAGCTTATGCTCAAATAAATTTGTTAGTCTCTAAGGTGCCACAAGTACTCCTGTTCTTTTTGCGGATACAGACTAACAACGCTGCTACTCTGAAACCTCTTCTAATAGCGAGTCTGCTGTATGCCCTGGTATCTCAGTCAGCTGTTGGTCTGTTCCTTGGAAAGCAGCAGGAGACGACTCGGTTGTGGACGTGATCCTAGAAGTGGCTTGATAGAAATGATGTATTTTCCTTGCTCTCTCCCTGTCAGCTCCTTCCATCTGTTCTCCAAATACCAGCTCAGATGCACCGTGCTGCACCATAAGGTGCGGTAAACATGGTTTGCACCTTCCAATGCAGCACTCACCACAGGCCAGTGTTGGGACAGGAGAGCGGATTGGTACTGGTCAGGTGCAGCAGAGAGGCAGGATATTGGACTCCATAGACCATTGACCTGGTCCAAGATAGCAGGAAGCAAGAGCTCTGGCAGGATGGACCAATGGTGTGATCTGTTATTGGTGAGTCCCAGGTTTCTAGTCCGACTAGTTGTTCCCTTCTTGCTTTTCCCTTTCCAGGGGGCAGGATCGACCATGGTCACCATGAGGGGAAAGCCAAGCAAGCACTGTATGAGGCAGTGGAGATGGACAGAGCCATAGGCGAGGCTGGTGGCATGACCTCACTGGAAGACACACTGACCGTAGTCACTGCCGACCACTCCCACGTCTTCACCTTTGGTGGATACACACCCCGCGGCAATCCCATTTTCGGTAAGGGTTTAACCCATTGGTTTCCCCCACAAGCCAAAGACCCGCCAGTCTCCAAATGGTGGCACCTGGCCAGTTACTGCTGGAGGACTGTTTGGCATCGCTGCCTGGCAGGATTGACAAAGCCCTGGCTGAGATGATTTAGTTGGGGTTGGTCCTGCTTTGAGCAGGGGGTTGGACTAGATGACCTCCTGAGGTCTCTTCCAACCCTAATCTTATATGATTCTATGATGTCCCTTGAAACAGCAGCGATTGAAATGTGTCCAGTGTCAGAACCAGGGCAAAACCTTTGGCAGCTTTCCTAGACTGTAAGGCCATTACGATCCTTGAGTCTGACTCCTGTGTAACTCAGGCCTGAGAACTCCCCCAGAGAGTCCTGCATTGCATCTGAGCCCATGGCTTGTAGCTGACCTAGAGTGCATCCAATCTCAATATAAGGACTCCACGTGAGGGGGAAAATTTACCACCTCCTAGTTATTGGGGATGAGTTTCTAATCACATCATAACATCCAGCTCCTGGATCCCTGAGCCCATGGACCAGAACCAAACCCCAGTTCTGAACACCCCAAAACTCTCTGGATTTAAGGCCTGGATTTCAGTTGTACTGGAGCTCATCTCTACAGCAGCCCAGACTCGCATCCTCCACCCCAGCTGCTGAAACACTGCAGCTGTTTAGCTACCCCAGCAAAATGCCCTATTTCTCCTTTCTCATGGAGCACTGGCCCGACAACACTCTGCCTGCTGCAGCACCGGCACTGCTTGCTACAGCACCTTGGGGTTGTCTTGTTGGGTCCCCCATCCAAATGCTGGCCAGCCCTGACCCTGCTTAGCCAAGGAGAGTCAATGAGCTTCCAGTGGGGTGGAATGACTGCATGGGCTATGCTGGACTATAAAAACATCAAACCTTTGACAGTCCTGGCCACCTCCTGAGTTATTCACCCCTGAAAACTGGCTGCAGTGATTTTCTCATGCCCCACTCCCCCTCTCCCTGTTCTCACTTGGGAACCTGAGGTTGGTCTGTTTGATGGGCATGTGATCAGCCCCAGGGTAGCAGAAGCAGCACTGGCTGACACTCCAGTCAGTGTCTTTGGCTAAAGAGAGGATCGGGGTGAGGGGCTGGGGGCAGATAAACTAGGGAATCCTGGAGATATGCCTCCCCAACAGAAATACTCTATGGAAATGGGCAGGACTGGAGTATTGGAGTCAGGAATGATATCTTCTGCAGAGGAGCGATGGCCACCATCCCTCAGGCTAACCATGCTCCTCCCTGCACAGGTCTAGCGCCAATGCACAGTGATGTGGATAAAATGCCCTTCACCTCCATCCTGTATGGAAATGGCCCCGGGTACAAAATCGTAGCCGGAGAGAGGGAGAATGTGTCCGCCGTGGATTATGGTGAGTTTGGGGCGATGGCAAGATGCGGCTGGCGGGGGAGGGCACATGGCAGGGACCAGCTGACACCACTGGGTTCATGTAAAATGCATTGCTTGTCCCAATCTAATTCCCAGTGAGCCAGAGTCCATTTCCCAAACCCACTGCCACTAACGGCCACCACGTTGGTGCCCTCAGCAGAGAGGCCAAGGTCTGAATGGGCCATGGAGACTGAACTCCCCCCCCCCCCTCAAAGGTGGCCTGTCACGTGAGGATGGAAGCTGGGGAGGCCCCTTCCTCAGTGCAGAGTGGGTGCCAGTCTCCAGCCTGGTGGTCTGACTCCCCAGTCTCTTACAGCCGTTTGTTCTCTCTCTGCAGCTCATGCCAACTACCAGGCCCAGTCAGCTGTGCCCCTGCGCCAGGAGACCCACGGGGGTGAGGACGTGGCGATATTTGCCAAGGGCCCCATGGCCCACCTCCTGCATGGAGTCCACGAGCAGAACTACATTCCACACGTCATGGCCTATGCCGCCTGCATTGGCCAGAACACAGACCACTGCAGCTCCGGAGCCCACCACAGCACAGTGGGGCCTCTGCCCTTCCTCTCCACCCTTACCTCCATCCTCCTCCTCAAATTCTTGTTTTAAGGTCTCGCCCTCAATCAGCTCACTTCCTTCAGTCACAGACCAGGGCTCTCCAGCTGTCTCAAATAGAGATCTTGACCCCATTCAAAGACAGATCTTGAAACCTGTCTCGCCGTATGATACAGGGTCTTCAGGTTTTAACCATGTTGGACATAATACCAAGGCTTCCTATGTCTCTGGTCAATGGACCCACCTTGCTCCTGAACCAGGGCAGCTGGCCTATGGCCATGAACCACTGTTCAAGATCATTAGGGGTGGGGAACTGAGTGAGCGGTTCAGTTGCTGTTGACGCTGCTGAATGTCCCTGGTGTGGATGCCCTGGATTCCAAGTTGGCTTCAAGAGCTGGAAATGTTGGGCTGTTTTTATAGCAATTGCCTGGACTGGTTCTGTGAACCCAAAGGCAAAGACACACAGGTTCAGGCTGGGACAGACTCTCTTGGACCCAGATGTTTCATATCTAATAATGTTTTCTTTTGTTTTAAGCTCCTCTAGCCTCACTCAAGCAGTTTTTTAAAAAATCAGATAAACAAAACTCACATATTAGGAAATGTTCTGTTCTCCTCCAATGGCTGTTGATTATGTAAATAGAGGCTTCCTCCCTGGGAACCAAAACCCGGCTCTAAACTTTGAGAGAAGAGGCTTTTGGAATCTGAATCCACATGTGGATTTTGGCTTTTTGGTTCATCTCTGGTTGATGTTTTCAACCAGAGAATTAGTCACTTAAGTCAGCAGGAGTTGGGCACCTGGATCCAGATCCATAAAGGTATTTAGGCTCCTAAGTCCCTCCAATTTCAATGGCAGTTAGGAGCCTAAATACTTTTGTGGTTCTGGGCCTCAGCCCCTTTTGAAAATCCAGTCCTCTGTCTGACAGCACAGAAGTGATGCTTCAGATCCTGCACTATGGCATCACTGATGAGAGACTTTCAGCGGGGCCAAAGGAATCACTCACATCCATAGAATCATAGGACTGGAAGGGACCTTGAGAGGTCATCTAGTCCAGTCCCCTGCACTCATGGCAGGACTAAGTATTATCAGTGAGGTTTTATGTTTGAAGCCAGGGTGATACAATATATGGAGCCCTCTTTGATTCTTCCCTTTAGCCCCCTTGGTGCCAGGCATATTAGGCGCTCCCAGCCTATGCTGGGGTTGCCACGTCTGTCCTAAACCTTGTGCCACAATTTGTCTGGGCTCTGCTTTGTCCCTCACGTCTGGCTTGTAGGACACTAAAGGTCTCTGGAAACAATGCTTGTTGGTCACTTCTTGGTGATGCTGTGATGTGAAGATGTGGGGCAAACTGGCAGGTCAGGTTAGGAACCCAGGTTGTCAACCAACCCCTCATGTCTCCGAAGCTGGGCTGGGCAGGTCTGAGTAAAGGCATTCCTGTGAGATTTCCTGCAGCTAGTTAAGCTGTGGACAACATCCCACCATCAGCCTTTGCTAACATATTGCAGTCCTGGCCTAAGCTCAGCAGTGGGGAGCAGCTGGAGAATAATGTTGGCCAAACTTTTCTTGACCATATAAAAAGGTTGTTTGCAGTGCTATGGCCCTGTTGGTTCCAGGATATTAGAGAGACAAGCTATCTTTTATTGGACAGACTTCTGTTGGTGAAAGAGACAAACTTTCGAGCTCCACAGAGCTCTTCGTCACGGCTGGGCTCACTGACCCACCTCGTCTCCTATATAAAAAAGGTCCATTTGAGTTTCAGGCTGGGTCGTATTTGAACCAAACTGTTTTCCCTGTCTCTGATTGCATCACAATGTGATGATGCAACAGCCTTAGGAGCCAAAATCCTATTAAAAGTCAATGGGACTTAGTTGGTCAACTAGTATCTAGAAACAGTCCACAGAGTGGCCAAGCCCCCTGCTGACAGACAGAAAGAAGCAGGGTGGGAGTGGGGGTAACATTGTCAAAGGCACTTACGTGCCTTGAGAGACTAACAATCGTTTCTCCTGACAAGTTGAAGCAGCGGTTGGAGGGGAATTATTTGCCATGGCATGTGGTGATTAGTTTCTGAGGATGCTCATCGGCATGCCGTTAGGAGACCTGAGCTCTTTAATTTGTTATCAAGGTTTCATTCAGCTGTTTAATTTGTCAGTAGGTTGTTTTTTTGTTTTTTTTTTTAAATAAAGCCTTTTAAAAGAAATTAACTATTTCAGGACATTTCAGGCCATAGCGGATTGTTTGAAGACACTTGAATTCTTGGGGCCAATGGGGCGCTGGAAGGACAGCCTCTTTGGGTTTTATTCATAAGAAAACCACTGGCCTGAACACAGCCAGTTGGAAGGAACTGTCAATCCACTTCATAACCTGTGACCCAAGACCTCGTCTCTATTTCCATAGAAACTGTTGCCATGGGTGTCATCCATGGTGACAGCAAATCAACTGTCCATGATAAATAAATACAAATCTGGGAATGCATCTGGATTGGATTTGCATTGAGGCCTCTTGTTTCAATTTTTAGTCTGGAGATCTTGTTATTAAAGCGTCTTGTGGTTTTTCCATAAATGTGCATCGACTTCTCAGCATAAAGCTCTCTGGTCAGCAAAAGCTGGGTGCAGAACTGTAATGGTGGGTGCCAGGCATTGCTTCGTGGAGCAGCTGGTACGGGAACCCACAAGGGGAGAGGCAACTCTAGATTTAGTCCTGAGTGGAGCGCAGGAGCTGGTCTAAGAGGTAACTATAACAGGGCCGCTTGGAAATAGTGACCATAATACAATAGCATTTAACATCCCTGTGGTGGGAAGAACATCTCAACAGCCCAACACTGTGGCATTTAATTTCAAAAGGGGGAACTATGCAAAAATGAGGGGGTTAGTTAAACAGAAGTTAAAAAGTACAGTGACAAAAGTGAAATCCCTGCAAGCTGCATGGGCGCTTTTTTAAAGACACCATAATAGAGGCCCAACTTCAATGTATACCCCAAATTAAGAAACACAGTAAAAGAACTAAAAAAGAGCCACCGTGGCTTAACAACCATGTAAAAGAAGCAGTGAGAGATAAAAAGACTTCCTTTAAAAAGTGGACATCAAATCCTAGTGAGGCAAATAGAAAGGAGCATAAACACTGCCAAATTAAGTGCAAGAATGTAATAAGAAAAGCCAACGAGGAGTTTGAAGAACAGCTAGCCAAAAACTCAAAAGGTAATAACAAAATGTTTTTTAAGTACATCAGAAGCAGGAAGCCTGCTAAACAACCAGTGGGGCCCCTTGATGATCGAGATACAAAAGGAGCGCTTAAAGACGATAGTCATTGTGGAGAAACTAAATGGATTCTTTGCTTCAGTCTTCACGGCTGAGGATGTTAGGGAGATTCCCAAACCTGAGCCGGCTTTTGTAGGTGACAAATCTGAGGAACTGTCACAGATTGAAGTGTCACTAGAGGAGGTTTTGGAATTAATTGATAAACTTAACATTAACAAGTCACCGGGATCAGATGGCATTCACCCAAGAGTTCTGAAAGAACTCAAATGTGAAGTTGCGGAACTATTAACTAAGGTTTGTAACCTGTCCTTTAAATCGGCTTCTGTACCCAATGACTGGAAGTTAGCTAATGTAACACCAATATTTAAAAAGGGCTCTAGAGGTGATCCCGGCAATTACAGACCGGTAAGTCTAACGTCGGTACCGGGCAAATTAGTCGAAACGATAGTTAAGAATAAAATTGTCAGACACATAGAAAAACATAAACTGTTGAGCAAAAGTCAACATGGTTTCTGTAAAGGGAAATCGTGTCTTACTAATCTATTAGAGTTCTTTGAAGGGGTCAACAAACATGTGGACAAGGGGGATCCAGTGGACATAGTGTACTTAGATTTCCAGAAAGCCTTTGGCAAGGTCCTTCACCAAAGGCTCTTACGTAAATTAAGTTGTCATGGGATAAAAGGGAAGGTCCTTTCATGGATTGAGAACTGGTTAAAAAACAGGGAACAAAGGGTAGGAATTAATGGTAAATTCTCAGAATGGAGGGGGGTAACTAGACTCTCCAAGGGTCAGTCCTCGGACCAATCCAATTCAACTTATTCATAAATGATCTGGAGAAAGGGGTAAAACAGTGAGGTGGCAAAGTTTGCAGATGATACTAAAGTGCTGAAGATAGTTAAGACCAAAGCAAACTGTGATGAACTTCAAAAAGATCTCACAAAACTAAGTGATTGGGCAACAAAATGGCAAATGAAATTTAATGTGGATAAATGTAAAGTAATGTACATTGGAAAAAATAACCCCAACTATACAAACAATATGATGGGGGCTAATTTAGCTACAACAAGTCAGGAAAAAGATCTTGGAGTCATCGTGGATAGTTCTCTGAAGATGTCCACGCAGTGCGCAGAGGCGGTCAAAAAAGCAAACAGGATGTTAGGAATCATTAAAAAGGGGATAGAGAATAAGACTGAGAATATATTATTGCCCTTATATAAATCGATGGTACTCCCACATCTCGAATACTGCGTACAGATGTGGTCTCCTCATCTCAAAAAAGCTATACTGGCACTAGAAAAGGTTCAGAAAAGGGCAACTAAAATGATTAGGGGTTTGGAACGGGTCCCATATGAGGAGAGATTAAAGAGGCTAGGACTCTTCAGTTTGGAAAAGAGGAGACTAAGGGGGGATATGATAGAGGTATATAAAATCATGAGTGATGTGGAGAAAGTGGATAAGGAAAAGTTATTTACTTATTCCCATAATACAAGAACTAGGGGTCACCAAATGAAATTAATAGGCAGCAGGTTTAAAACAAATACAAGGAAGTTCTTCTTCATGCAGCGCACAGTCAACTTGTGGAACTCCTTACCTGAGGAAGTTGTGAAGGCTAGGACTATAACAGTGTTTAAAAGAGAACTGGATACATTCATGCTGGTTAAGTCCATTAATGTCTATTAGCCAGGATGGGTAAGGAATGGTGTCCCTAGCCTCTGTTTGTCAGAGGATGGAGATGGATGGCAGGAGAGAGATCACTTGATCATTACCTGTTAGGTCCACTCCCTCTGGGGCACCTGGCAATGGCCACTGGCGGTAGACAGGATACTGGGCTAGATGGACCTTTGGTCTGACCCGGTACGGCCGTTCTTATGTACAGCTGCTGAGGTTTCAGCTCTGGTTGCTCACATGTGCTGCTCCCTACGGGATTCTAAAGTAACTTGCACAACTCATTGCACTACAACTCAACGGCTTCCTGAGATTATTGCTCTCCGCCTGCTCACTTTCATTTATGACCCTTGGAATGGGGGTGAAGCTCTTTAGAGCCTGGAGGGTGGGAAAAAGACCTGGTTGGTTGGGCTGTCAGTCACCCAGAGAGATGGGGCAAGACTTCCTCTCCTCCCCCAAAGGGTCCTGGGAAGTCCTCTGTAGAACTCCTTGGTTTGGTGTTGAGAATCAGCATTGCAAGAGGAAGGTCCCCTGGAGGTCCCCATGGGCCTGTCGGATGCCTGTTGTGGCAGGTATTCCTGCTTGGGTTTTTATTTTTATTATTATTTATTATTTAAAATAAATCTGGGCATTTTTTTTTAAAACCCCCCTCCAAACTGGGTCTTGCTGTTAAATTAGACAAGGGATGGACAAACTTTTTGGCCTGAGGGCCACATCTGTGTGGGAAAATTGCATGCAGGGCCATGAATGTAGGTCTGGGGCAGGGGGTTGGGGTGCGGGAGGGGTGCAGAGTTCAGGAGGGGGCTCAGGGTAGGGGTTCGGGGTGCAGGCTCCAGCCCAGCGCCGCTTACCTTGAGCGGCTCTGGGGTGGCAGCAGCGCACGGCTCAGGCAGGCTCCCTGCCTACCCTAGCCCCGCACCACTCCCGGAAGTGGCCGGCAGCACGTCCCTGCAGCCCCTGGAGGATGGGGGGAGGGCAGAGGGCTCTGTGCGCTGCCCTTGCCTGAGGGTACCTCCCCTGAAGCTCCCATTGCCAATTCCTGTTCCCAGCCAATGGGAGCTGTGGGGGGCGGTGCCTGCAGGTGAGGGCAGCGCGCGGAGCCCTCTCTCCCTCCACATCCCCCAGGGGCTGCAGGGACGTGGTGCCAGCCGCTCCTGGGAGTGGTGCAGGGCTGTCAATCCCATGGGCCGGATCCAAAGCCCTGACGGGCCGGATCCAGTCCACGGGCCGTAGTTTGTCCACCCCAGAATTAGACATTCTTGCTATTGCCCTGTGGCACAACCCTCTATTTATTTATTTATTTATTTGTGCTGGAGGGGTGACTAAGAGACCCCATCATGGACACCATTATGCTAGGTGCTGTACAAATACAGAACAGAATGATGGTCACTGTCCCAAGGACCTTCTCTTCCCAGACACTTCCCCCTCCCCCCCCCAAAGTGCCTTCTTTGTTTTCCTGCCCATGTTTAGGGTTGCATTTTGATACATGGAAGCCTTTGTTTGCAGCTGTAGTTAAAGGGGGTTTTATTAATTATCACTGAGATGTTTTTTGTGGGTGAGGAAGATGGACCTTGAGCCAAGAGCCCTGGATTTGGATCCTAGCTCATCACTTGAATATCTGTTTCTCTAATCTGTTTCTCACAGTAGAACAGTCCAAACTGTGAACATTTACAATTTGGCCCACTAGAGAGTTTGGATCCAGGGCTTTTG